ACCAAGAAAAGAAGAGAGAAAATCCAAATAACCTCACTAGAAATGAAACAGGAGATATTACAACTGACACCACTGAAACACAAAAGATCATATAAGGCTACTGTCAACACCTTTACACACATAAACCAGAAAACCTAGAAGAGATGGAGAAGTTCCTGGAAAAATACAACCCTCCTAGCTTAAATCAGGAACAATTAGATACCCTGAACAGACCAACAACAAGCGGTGAGATTGAAATGGTAATTTAAAAATTACCAACAACAACAAAAAAGTCCAGGATAAGATGGATTTTCAGCAGAATTCTACCAGACATCCAAAGAATTGGTACCAATCCTTTTGAAACTATTCCACAAGACAGAGAAAGAAGGAACCCTCCCCAATTCATTCCATGAAGCCAACATCACCCTAATACCAAAACCAGGAAAGGACATAACCAAAAAAGAAAACTACAGACGGGTATCCTTGATGAATACAGATGCTAAAATCCTTAACAAAATACTAGCCAACCAAATCCAACAACTTATCAAAAAGATAATCCACCATGATCAAGTGGGTTTCATACCAGGGATGCAGGGATGGTTTAACATATGCAAGTCATGATAAATGTGATACACCACATAAACAGAATTAAAAACAAAAAACACATGATCATCTCAATGGATGCAGAAAAAGCATTAAAGAAAATTCAACATCCCTTTATGATTAAAACTCTCAGCAAAATTGGCCTACAAGGGACATAGCTTAATGTAACAGCCAACATAATACTGAATGGGGAAAAGCTGAAAGCATTCCCTCTGAGAACTGGAACAAGACAAGGGTGCCTACTGTCACCACTCCTCTTCAACAGAGTACTGGAAGTCCTAGCCTGAGCAATCAGACAAGAGAAAGAAATAAAGTGCATCCAAATCAGTAAAGAGAAAGTTAAACCGTCACTGTTTGCTGACGATATGATCATTTATTTTGAAAACCCTAAAGACTCCTCCAGAAAGCTCCTAGAACTGATAAAATAATTTAGCAAAGTTTCTGGATACAAGATTAATGCACACAAATAAGTAGCTCTTCTATATACCAACTGTGACCAAACGGAGAAGCACATCAAGAACTCAACCCCTTTTACAATAGCTGAAAAAAAAAATACTTAAGAATATACCTAACCAAGAAGTCAAAAGACTTCTACAAGGAAAACTACAAAACACCACTGAAAGAAATCAGACAGCATGAACAAACGGAAATGCAGCCCATGCTCATGGATGCGTAGAATCATTGTGAAAATGACCATACTGCCAAAAGCAATCTACAAATTCAATGCAATCCCCATCAAAATACCACCATCATTCTTCACAGAATTAGAAAAAACAATCCTAAAATTCATATGGAACCAAAAAAGAGCCCGCATAGCCAAAGCAAGGCTAAGCAAAAGGAACAAATCTGGAGGCATCACACTATCAAACTATACTATAAAGCCATAGTCACCAAAAATGCATGGTACTGGTATAAAAAGAGACACATAGACCAATGGAACAGAATAGAGAACCCAGAAATAAACCTAAATACTTAGAGCCAACTGATCTTAGACAAAGCAGACAAAAACATAAAGTGGGGAAAGGGCATCCTTTTCAACACACGGTGCTGGGATAATTGGCTAGCCACATGTAGGAGACTGAAACTGGATCCTCATCTCTCACTTTATACAAAAATCAACTCAAGATGGATTAAGGACTTAAACCTAAGACCTGAAACTGTACAAATTCTAGAAGATAACATTGGAAAAACCCTTCTAGACATTGGCTTAGGCAAGGATTTCATGATCAAGAACGCAAAAGCAAATGCAATAAAACCAAAGATAAATAGCTGGGACCTAAAGAGCTTTTACATGGCAAAAGGAACAGTCAGCAGAGTAAATGGACAACCCAGAGTGGGAGAAAATTGTCATAATCTGTACATTTGACAAGGACTAATATCCAGAATTTACAACAAACTCAAATCAGTAAGGAAAAAACAAACAATCCTATCAAAAAGTGAACTAAGGACATGAATAGACAGTTCTCAAAAGAAGATATGCAAATGGCCAATAAACATATGAAAAAATGCTCAACATCAGAAATGATCAGCAAATCAAAACTACAATGTGATATCACCGTACTCCTGCAAGAATGGCCATAATCAATCAATCAATCAAAAAACAGTAGATCTTGGCATTGATGCAGTGAACAGGGAACACTTCTACACTGCTGCTGGGAATGCAAACTAGTACAGCCGCTAAGGAAAACAGTGAAGATTCCTTAAAGAACTAAAAATAGAACTACCATTTGATCCAGAAATCCCACTACTGGGTATCTACCCAGAGGAAAAGAAGTCATTATTCAAAAAAGATACTTGCACACGCATGTTTATAGCAGCACAATTCACAATTGCAAAATCGTGGAACCAACCCAAATGCTCATCAATCAACAAGTGGATAAACTGTGGTATATGTGTATATATACATATATATATATACACACATGATGTAATACTATGCAGCCATAAAAAGGGATGAATTAAGAGCATTTGCAATGACCTGGATGAGATTGGAGACTATTATTCTAAGTAACCCAGGAATGGAAAACCAAACATCGTATGTTCTCATTGATATGTGGAAGCTAAACTATGACAATGTGAAGGCGTAATAATAATACAATGGACTTTGGGGACTTGGGAGGAAGACTGGGAGTGGGGGCGAGGGATAAAGACTACAAATATGGTGCAGTGTACACTGCTCAGGTGATGGGTGCACCAAAATCTCACAAATCACAACTAAAGAACGTATGTAACCAAATACCACCTGTACCCAAATAACTTATGGGGAAAGAAAAAGAGACAAGAATGTTAATAGTTGTGGATTAAGTCAATGTTTCCAAGGCCCAACTAAAAGAATAAACGTTAAGGGGTGAGAGAGAAGTGGTGAGGATGTGGTGAACGGAAGCTCAGGTCCCCTGTTATCAGCATTCGATGTACTTTTAACACTATGAAGGCCACACAAAATAGTTTCGGTTTAATGGCCCCTGGATTTTGTGCCTGTTTTCTTCCTTGTGCATTTGTCTTCTGCAGAAAATTCTTTTCATATTTCTCAACTATGTAATACTTTTGTAAACAGATTTGTTTAAAAACTCAGACATTTACATGAGAAAGATTCAGAAAAAGACCTTTATTTTTAGGTTACATTATCTTACACAGCAGGCAAACGGGGTGTGGTTTTGACAAACTAGTGGTCTTAATGAAAATATGAGTCTCACAAACTATAAACTAAGGCAGGAAAGATAAACATTCTTGTCTTAGGCCTCAAGTGGAGGTGGCGGAAGGGTTTATGATATTATGGTAACAGTAGAAGCTTTGCCAGTACTGTCCAAGGTACACCACTTCTGTGTAGAGGCCTAAGCAATCTTGGTATCCACGGTAAATACACAGAGGGGATGAAAGCTAAACATTTTAGTTAAATGAGCAGGGGTGGCTATATAGATGGGCAAACTTTACCAGTGCAGATGGGATGGCGAGTAGTCAGAAACAGGAAACAAGGGCCTGGCTCTGGTTGTTGTTCAGGCTACAACCAGTAAAGTGAAGACAGGAAGACGCCCAGTAGTAGATGTGCATGGGACACAAAAGCCAGGATACTCAGGACTGACACAAGCTGTGCTACCAATAGCCACTTTTTCGTGAGCTTGCTCACAGGGTTCCTGGAAGGCGAGTTGTGAATGCCTACAGTGTGCTGAGCACTTTCACACATCTTTACACCTGGGTGAAATCAACAGTATTTCCCCCCCTTTATCACTGATGATACAGGTTAGATTGTTAACAAACCCATGTCTAACTTCAAAGCCGACACAGAATCCTCCCTAGGGCTGGAGTATTAGTCATTAACCCTTTAAGCCTAGTCAAAGAACACGCTTTTCCCACTTCTCTCACATCACCATTCTAATAGTAACTTACAGGTATCAGAAAGTGCACCTTGTGCCTTAGAAAGCTACACAAATAATCAACAATCCCTAATTTATAAGAATGTCTGCAGCTTAATTAGCCAGGCATAAGCCACATTAGTTGACTAAAAAAAAATTACAGCTCTTAATCGAAGACAACTTCTCAGTAGCTATTCATTAGTTCCTGCCATTTTAATGTATTCAGAGTAGGAAACAGAATAGACAATTGTGACTGCAATGAGGTCCATGAACGTTTAGAACACAATTAATGTTTTTTCCACATTGACTCATGGAAACAATAACAGCTAATGCAGCCCCATTCCCACCTGTGAATCATCTTATTCCCACAGAAAACATCAAACCTCCCCAAATATCATCCTCTAGGCAGAGGTCACTTAACTGTTAAATTCACAAAGCAGGTGCAAAAAAAAAAGAAAAAAAAAAGAAAAGAAAAGAAAAAAAAAAAAGGACCAATGAAATAAAGGAAAAATTCTATTTACTGAAATTCAAGTAGCTAAATTACCTCTTAGGTGAAGTCAATGAAAACCCTCACACTCACACATTGCTCATTTACCCTTATTTCAATCATAATTCTAATATACTTCCCATCTGGTTTCTATTTTTCAGCAGGTCAAAAGAAAAAAAAATTAAGTTAGATATGGTGAAGTATTAGCAGAGACAGAAAAATAGCTACAAAGTGGCAGCTGTCAAGGAAAAAGAAGAACAGTTACAAATTCAAGTAGAACTAGAAAACAGCCATGAGAATGTGGAAAAGCTACCAGCCTCTCACTTTTATAGAGACACAAAGGAATCAGTGTGTAATTGTTTCTTAATGACGATTCCCAACTATCAAAGTTATACTATATTCGGAATAATCTAAGGTAATAAAGTATCTAGTACATTTTAGAAATACTTTTATTCAAAATTAATTAAAAAGTGTTATGTTCAAAATGATAAGATTTTGTTAGTTAATAGATTTCCTCACCAAGTCATGTTGGGCCTCATTCAACAGCACAGAATAAGCCTATTTTATACAAGACACAGATATATGGAAACACAAATAATTTTAATGATTTATGGTAAATAAGAAGGAAGCTTGAATCTATGATTGAAAAATAAAAATTACATACATATCTACACAGAGTGTACAATCACAAGTTTCAAGAGCTTAACACAAACTAACTGCTGTCAAAATAAATATTTAACAAAACAAAGATGAAACTGCTTAACAGTCAGGGAAAAACAACAAAAAGAAGAGAGGGGTGATAAACCAAGAAAATGAATGACAAAAACTGAGCAAGAGACCTCAAAGGTATCTTTACAAACAGGAATTCAGATGCAAGGAACAGACACAAACCTGTCTAAAATGTGACCTATGAGGCAATACAAAGTGACTTGAAGTCAGCTATAAATAAAAAATGACAACCAAAATCCCAGAGAGTCTTAAATTATTTAATCCAGACATTATCTAACCCCTCGGATTTTTGTTTGGTGCTATGGTGTTCATCATTTTCCATCAGAATGAAATGTGGGACAAATGCATTACTGGTTGCAGAGTGTTTCAGAGCTAATTCACCCAGCAAGGTCAGGGTCAAAAGGTTATTTTGTTCATACAATATATTTCTTGATACCAAAAAAACAACATGTCAAAGAAAGAATTAAAGCAAAATGTATTTTCAAATGATAAACAGAATCTCAAACTTTCAAGTAAGTGCATCTTAAGATGTTGATGAACTTCAGAGATTCGCAGTATTTTAAAACTAGGGATATTCTATTCCAGTTGTTATCCAACTGTCCTCTTTTGTTCATGAGGAACCAAACTGGCAGCTCTCTCAGTGTCTCCTTCGCCAAGTCTTTAATTTTATAAGTATATTCAATGTCTAGGAAGGAATTATTAAAGAATTCTGCTTCTTAAAAAAATGTTTCAAAATAATCGAATGTATCCTTGTCGATTCGGGAATGAGAGCACACAGAGCAGAGTAACCTCCCCAGGTCTGGCCACTCTCCGGTGGTATCCCGCCCACTCACTGAGGCCTTGCCTGTTTGATACTAGTAAGCCCTCCCCATGCCTACTTCTACACTTACTGTATGGCCTTTTGTATGATCTGGAAAAAATCTGTTGTAAATCAAGTAATCACCAACTTCTGCCTCTATGCCAACCTTAACACTTTTAAAAACTTTACAAAGGAAGAAATTAAGACCTTCAAAATTATTTTGCAAATACCAACAAGGTTTACCAGAAGAAGACTGCTTTTTAATTTAAAGTAATGACGTTGGACTGACAATGTGCTAGATTGGTCAGACTTCTTAAAAAAAATACTGATATTAAAATGTGTTAGAGAAAATGCTCTAAGTATATATACATATGTAGTAGATAAACAGAGTTATATGTTGATAGTTATAAGCAAATGTACAGAATAAAAATATGTACCATGAGCCTAGTGTTGATTTTTACCACAAAAAAAAATGTTAAAGATTAAATCACGATTTCCTGATGAATATACAACATAAAGAAGAGATAAAAGTGTAAAAACAGACAACAAAGTAAATTACAAGAAAAGAAATAAACACAATATAGGATAAAGACAATTGCAGATAGGAGAATTAAACACCTAAGGTGGTTGGTATATTTAGACCAAATACTCTCTTTGCAATAAAGCCAAAATATTTGATAATATTCTCTGTTTACTTAAAAAAAATGGCAAGTTTTTTCACTGGTAGCAGGTATGGATTTTATTAAAGAATATTCAAAGACTCAAACAGTAATGATACCACTTGTCTATTTAACCAGGATTCTGGTGTCCTCTCATTAATCTCTGATACTCAATAATCTGAATAGAAAGACATGATGAATCAAAAAACATGCCAATTTTAAAAAGAAAAACCTTTAAAAGCAATCCCAGCATCTAAACGGTAAACACAACATGAATTCCTAATCTGGCATTAGACCTTTTTTTTTTTTTTTTTTTTTTTGATTCAAAGACAAATATGAATGACTCTACCTATTTGTAAAAATGTGAAAAATTAAAAACAGTACAATGACTGGGCTCTCACAAACCGTGCAAGTTCAATTTGAAATGTTCATCTGGTATAATATTCAGCTGTCAAGAGGAAGCAACTCAAAGGACATCACACAGTCTATAAACCAGCTTGAAGGAGCCTTCCAGACTTTGCCCTGCCGAACCCTCTCTGGGTGATAATTAGACAAATCCTCATAGATGATATACTGCGTGCAGAAGCGCTGATCAGAATCGGGCCTTGCATGGTATGCGACTGTATTGATGGTCTGAGTCACGTCACTGTCTGGCTTGGGCTTTCTACTGAGGATCTGGCCCCCACCTGCAGTGACGAGCTTAATAAGGTTGTCCTTTGGATGGTGTTTGAAAGATCCCCCCAAATAGAAGTAGCATCCATCAAATAGCTTTGGCAACTGAAATAATGAGAAAACATTTGTTAAAGGCAGATCAAAATACTGTATTCAAAAACACTGCATATGAATGAGGAAAATAAAAATACACGTTGAGTATCCCTTACCTGAAACATTTGGACCAGAAGCATTTCAGATTCAGAAATTTTTTGGGTTTTGGAAAATTTGCATACATATGAGATATCTTAAGGATGAGACTCAAGCCTAAACACAAAATTGATTTGTTTCTTGTACACTTTATGCACACAGCCTGAGGTAATTTTACACAATATTTTTAGTAATTTTGTGCATGTAACAAAATTTTGACCATGTTCTGTGACCTGTCACATGAGGTCAGGTGTGGAATTTTCCACTTGCGGCATCATGTCAAAGTTCAAAAAGTTTTGGATTTTGGAGCATTTTGGATATTGGATTAGGGATGCTCAATCTGTAATAATTATGAGCAGCTAAGAAGCTACTTAATGAGGTGCTGGGACAAGTTAAATTTCAAGCATACTAACTGGATCAAGAAAAATACTTAGGCAAATAGGGGCTTCCTATTTACAATTTTTTCCCTAAGATTCAGTCACCATTTTGGTTCCTTTTCACTCTTCTAAAATTTTAGATGTGTTTGGTATAAAGAAAACAAAAAAAATGTTCATCAAACTTTTTTCATCAGGATGTTTATGCTTATGTGGTGGGACTTAAAAACCCCACAATTCCTAGCTTTTATAAAATAGGCTTCAGAGACACAAGGCAAATGTAATTACAAGAGTAACATCTTTTCCATGGACTTTTATCCAGTTCTGCCTATCCACATTCAGGTCCCTACACATTACCAACCTAAGGTCTCCAGGGCAGCCACCGTGGGGGGTGTGCCCTCCACGGTTCCAGAAATGTATTCACGGGCACAACAGATTATTGTGCTGAGGCTAGGGATCCAATTAGCTATGAAACACACTTCTGTATGCTCGTTGGAAATTTTAAAAAGTTTCATAATTCCCTTCTACGGAAATTTTCTTTGTCACCTCTAATATACATATATATATCAACAGGATAATGCAATATTATCCATTAAAACTACAATATGTGGCCATAAAGACATATGGTAACTAAATCCGAGCAGCAGCTGTAAGTCTTCTTCCAAGCTACTTCCTGTATCTGAGATTTACCTCCGATTCTGAAAGGTTTATGGGAATGTTCAAGATGCCAAAAATCCATTAACAGTATGAAATTATTACCTTCTGGATTTTACTGCTCATCGTGATCATCTTTCAGAATCAAGTGCTTGAAATAAGCACAATTAAAATTTTAATCAGTCACCTGTAGTTGTTGAAAGGGCAGAAGTTTTCCCTGATGGTGATAATAATAGTATGTCATAATAAGAACAATGAAAGTTGTAGTAAAAGAAAAATACCAGCTGTTCTCTGTTGAGCCTGCTTCTGTGTGGACCTTCAGGAATTTCATACTTTTCTTCCTGTTCACATACTTTTCTTCGTAGACATGCTTTTACCCCTGTCAAAAACACAAGAATTAAAGCAAAAAAAATATCAAGTTAGCATTACTTCTCTTTCATTAAAATTAAGCAATTTACCTAAGTGGTTTTTCTTCTTCATGGCAGTTTTTAAGTATTATTCTAAAATGCAAACAGAAATCTTACTTATGCCAAAACAAAACATAACACAATTGGTTTTCCATATAAAGAAAAGACTTAAAATATTCTTTCTTTGGAGGATTAAGCCATAAGTTAGTACTGAACACTAACTGTAATTTTAATCTCCTTTCTGAAAAACCTAAGCCAGGATACTATTTCAAACACACACACAAAAGTCTACATTTTCACTCATAGCAATTACCCAAATTTAAGGTGATTAAAAAGTCCATGATGCAGTCCTGCCCACAATAACCTAAACTGAGCACTTACCATCTACACTGCTCATTTTGGCAGCTATATGTCTAATCGTCTGTTAAACTGTAAGTGATCTGACATGATGGAATGTGCTTTAGTCTACAGCACCTAGCTCAGCTAGCCACACAACAGGGGCTCAACAGTGCTTGCTAAAATAAACAAGCAGAGCTTGGGACAGGTTTGGAATGTGACAGGAACACAACTGAGGTCGCCAGTCTAGAGATGATTTGGTTGGGCTTTGTAGGAAAAAAAAAGCATTCTTTTGATGGCTTGAGTAAGTCTGTTCACAGCTTCAGGTTAAAAAGCAAGATGCAATAGAGACAGCTCAGCCTGGCACTGTTTAGAGTCATTCCACTGCCTGGCACCTGGGTGGGGAAACCCTAAGTAGGGCCACTGGCTGGCAGCCAGTACCAATTGTCTTGCTAGGCTCTAGAAATGAAAGGAACCCTTGGGATGCCCAGGATCAATCATGAAGGACATGGTCAGCTTCAGCTAGAGACAACATCTTGGATAACGCCTGTTCACCAACAGGCGAGGGAACTGATGGCATGTATATATATATTTATTATGCTTCTGTTCTGATAGCATATAACTACTAAATTTGAGATTTGGAGTTGAAGGACTTGGCTATCCCAATTACTTGAATTACTTGTTCTGGAAGCTTCCTTGCCTATGGAAATAAAAAATGAAAACAGTGTTTTTCACCGGGCTTCTGTGGATAAAATGCAAGAAGCATTCTATAAACTAGATACTATAATGAATTATCTTCATTATAAAAACAAACCCTCCATACAATTTCCTATTTGTCTTTGAGGTTGTTTTGCTCAATATCTCATTTTATCACTGAGGGCAGAAACCATGTATTATTCATTTATGCGTTCTTCAGAATTTCATACACTCTCCCACAGAACAGGAGTTTAACAGCAGAGGGTATCGGGAAAGTTGGAACAATAACTCAGGTATCCCGTTCACTGTCTAGTGTTGTTAACACAAAGGAACAAAAGTTTTTTAAAATTCACTATGGATACAGCATTGATAAGATTGTATCCACACCAATAAAAATAAGTAATTGTATAGCACCTGTAAGAGTTCAGAGTTACACATAGTTTTGAATATCAAACTATTATATCCTGTTATCACTTGATATCTAATGGCTTAAAACGACCAGAAAAAAATCTATGGCTGCATAAACATATACTTTAGATCGAGGATTAGACATGTATGTTGGATATACTACAGTGTTTTGGAAACCTCTTGAAAAATGCTAGTGATAAAGTTCTGTCCAGCTGATCCCTACTTACTTCAACAGTAAATTGATTCCAACACAGGAGCTGAACCACTACTCGGCATGTAAACTCTGCATTTGCCTGTAAAAGGGCTCCTTTCTTGACTGAAGGGTGGCCAAGAACCAACAGTTAATCTGCTACCCAGAACTGTCCTGGGATTGCATCTACTATAAATTTAGATTCACTTGTGTATGAGTGAAATGTCTCTTGACCTACAATGATTTTTTTTTTTTTTTTTTTTTGAGACAGAGTCTTGTACTGTCACCCAGGCTGGAGTGCAGTGGCATCATCTCGGCTCACCGCAAGCTCCGCCTCCTGCGTTCACACCATTCTCCTGCCTCAGCCTCGGGAGTAGCTGGGACTACAGGCGCTCACCATGCCCAGCTAATTTTTTGTACTTGTAGTAGAGACAGGCTTTCATCGTGTTAGCCAGGATGGTCTCAATCTCCTGACCTCGTGATCCGCCCGCCTCGGCCTCCCAAAGTGCTGGGATTACAGGCGTGAGCCACCACACCTATAATGATGATCTTGAGAGCAAAAACTTATACTGGAGAAGATAAAGAAACGCAGTGTTTTCCGAGAGTAAGTAATGGTTCACTTTAGACTGACTCAAACTTGATGGTACAATCAGTTTTAAACTTTCTTCTTTATTACCCCACACTGACACAATAACAGAACTTCATCGGATTACAGGAGTCAATCAGCAGAATTTGGAGTACGCGACAGAACTGAAAAAACCGGTACTTTCTGGGGAAAAAAATGTGTTTGAGTCCTGTTTATAAATGTTTTATTTATTCTAATCTTGTAACTTGAATTTTGAAAATACCCAGAATCAAATTACTTACGAGGTAGAAAAGACCCTGAAGAGCTAGTCCTACTTTCTTGTTTTATAGATTCGCACAGTCAAGTGCAGAAACAGAGTGACTTGCTAAGATCACTGATAGCAAAGATAAAGTGAACCACTTCCTAAAGCAACAGACTTTCACATCGGTGCTCTTCCTATATCATATTTACAGGCCAAGTATCCCTTATCTGAAATGCTTGAAACCAGAAGTGTTTTAAAATTCAGTTTTGTTTTGGATATTGGGGTATTTGCACATACATAATTAGGTATATCTTGGCAACAAGACCCACGTCTAAAAAAGAAATTCATCTATGTTTCATATACACTTTATACAGATAAAACATATATGAAGATAATTTTATATACTATCTTTAATAGTTTTGTGCATAAAACAAAGTTGTGTCTGCGTTTAGACTGTGAGCCATCATGTGAGGTCAAGTGTGTCATGCTGGCACTCAAATAGTTTAGTATTTTACAGCATTTTGGATTTTCAGATTAGGAATGCTCAAACTGTGTTAAACACCTATTATGTACAAGAGAAGTCATAATCTCTTCCCTAAGAAGAAAATCCTGCTGTTTCGTGTCACTTTATTTCAATAATCTAATCCTGAACTTTCATTAATATTAGAATGCTCTATCTCAGACTGCCTAATTTTAAATGAAATTTTATTGCTTTATTTTCCTCTATCAACAAGCAATCCATTATCAAATTTAATTTTTCAAGCACATTTAAAATTACGTCCATGTTTTAAAGATATTAAGGATGCCACTGAGATAATCTCAAATCATGGTATATATAATAACAAAGAAAACTCCCTACTCTTGTCCAGAAATTCTAAGAACTTCATATTATGTAAATTTCTGTTACAAAGTCAATTAAAGAACAAAGGTTAATAGTTTGTACATAGACAAACATGAGAAGATTCATTTTTCAGATTCAGCTTTTCCCTCTTTTTCTATTTAAAATGGCTTACCTTTCAAAGAATAACAAATTTGGGAGCAGATTTGATTGTCAGAAAAATAATAAAATATTCTTTTATATTTTGCATTTATTTCAAATGTTAAAAGCAAAGATAATAGGCTTTTTGAAAAAAATGTTTGAATGCACAGTTGTTTCTGAAAATAATGGAGAACCAATATATCTTAAATATTAAAAAAATAAAATATTCTGGAAGTATTAATGATTTACATGTATTAGTGAAGTGGTATTCAAAAATACTAATAAAGCAGGAAATAATACACAGCCAGAGTTTTAGTCATTTATAGCTCTTGTTAAACAAAAATGAAATGGCAATATTAAATATGAAAAGAAAAAGAATATCATTAATAAAATATGGAATAAGTTGTTCCATTGTTACTTCCCTGGGTTTAAACTGAGTAGAACCTGAGAATTTATTTGATTGTATATAAGTTTATTTTACACCTGTAGATACTAACGGACAGAACTCTCTTCTTATAAATTGTTATTAATAGAGAACCATGAGAGCATCACTTTATAAAAACTATGAATGCTATGTTACCTAATATTCATCCAATGAGCAAAATACTTTACTATAGATTGAATGTGTACATTGTGCAGTGCTCTGAAAACTTTAATTTTTCCATAATATAGAATAAAACACTCATAAATCATAAGGCCTAACCAATCCAATGCTAAAAATCACACACCAATATTTTCTGGTCAAAGGAGAAAAAAAAAATTCTTAAAATAACAATTTATTCTACTCTGTTTTCTTTTTACTTTTCTAACTTTAAATGACCAAGGACACAACTGTTTGTTCTAAGAAAAGATCCTGATCAAAATTACTGTGATGGTAACAGCTACTAAAAGTACTTGCACCCTTCCCCAAATACAGCAAGAGTAGTATAGCCAATGCTCATTATCTGCAGTAGTTATGTTCTATAAAGACGCTATAAACACCGAATTAGTGAATAATGAACCACTGCTGTTAAAGGAAATACAGGTTTATGTTTCTGTGAGCGTGTGGTTCCAGCATTTTCATCAACTGATCAATACTTTGTTTTATGTATGTTTTTGTTTATACGCATTATTTATTGTATAGTGTTGACTCATTAACATTAAACTTAGCACCAGCAGTACTACAATTAACACCTTAACAAAGCTTATCTAACACAGTATTTAATATTTTCCCTGAAAGGCACATCACAATCTTCTTGAGCTTAGACACATAAAACAGCACCTCAGCACTACATTATGAGGCCATTTTAAATAATAAAATCATCAACAAAAATACAAAAATGCAAAAAACATGGCATCAATAGACTGTGAAAGGGCCACTTGTTTACAGTGTGAGAGCTGGAAAAAGGAGGCAAGTATCACCTCGTTTGACCTCAGCTGGGGACACACTTTTTTGGCAACTAAAGTTCTTCACTACTCTGTACATGTCTACAAAAGCACTGTGAGTATTGATTTGGGGATTACAAGAAAAATTTTAGCAAGTAAGAAAACTCACAA